CACTCGTCTTTTTCAAGCTTGGCTTTGGAACGTGATCTTCCTCGTCAATTCTTCTTTTGGCTCTTCGACCGACCTCTTGCAACTAACGCTTCATCTTCTATTGCTGCATTCTTCGTCTCTTGTTTGTTCTTCTTTCTCAACTCATAGCTATACAGAGCAGAACTGACCACTGCAAGAGTTACATCGTCCTTCCCATGGAGCAGAGTAGTCTCTAGGTGCTCGAAGTCATCTGGAAGTGATGATAACAACATAAGAGCCAAATCTTCATCGCTGAATGTGACGTCCAAGTTCAACAAATCTGCAACCAATTGATTGAATGCAGTGACGTGGTCATTCATCGATGTGCCATGCCGGTACTCGAATCGGAACAATCGCTTCTTCATGAGGAGCTTATTCTGGCCGCTTTTCTTCAGAAATTTATCCTCCAAAGCCTTCCACAAAGTGTGAGCAGAGTTCTCATTCTTGAACGCGTACTTCTGCTCCCTCGACAAACACGAACGAATTGTTCCACATGCTAAGCGGTTGATATTCTTCCAGTCCTTCTCTTCAACGTCTGTTGGCTTCTCCTTTTCAATCGCAATGTCGACGCCTTGCTGAAATAAACAATCCAGCACCTCGCCTTGCCACATGCCGAAATGACCGATCCCGTCGAAGATCTCCACCGGGAGTCTGACGTTCGGCATCACCTTCCTTGCCGGAATGAATGCAGAGGATGATGCACCCTTGACCTCCTTGGACATCTCAGACTCGAATGCAGTGCTCGCCTCTCCAAATGAGCCTGGGACGAACCTTCGGCTCTGATATTACTTGTTGGGGTATCACAACAAGCGCATCGAACAATAATACCCCTCCAACGAATATGGCGAACACCACTCCAAATAAGCCAACACAAATAAAAGACGAGAGATAAAAGAACACAAAAATTGATAATGGAGTTCGGCGAAAATAGCCTACGTCTCCGGGCACCGCCAACCGCAACGCCAAATTTACTAAACTCACCAACAAAATACAACTAGGGTTAAATAACCCACAAAATAGGATTTCCTTAATTAAGGATTTCCTTCTAAATAGGAGAGAATAGAATAAGGTGCAATTGTAACCCAAAGGCAAGAGACCTATTTATACTAATAAGATCCTACACATCTTTGGTATACATCCGATGTGGGACAAAACTTAATAAAAAAACTAACACCCGGATCGACCAACGGATTAGTCGGATCATAACTCAGGATACCGTGGCTGGCTTAAAAAAAAATTAGTTTGTACATTTGTCCCTTGTTTATTGTGCAAAAACATAATTAATTTATACTCAGCATTTGCATCCCACTGGTCGAGCATTTGGACATTGAGAAAGATGGTGTCAGTATCTCTAAAATTCGTATATTTGGCAGCTTATATATGTCTTCTGCATGTACACACACAAACTCACATATATGTTGAGGCACATGAATTTTTCACTCATTCAAGTGCCAGCCTTACACTTACAGTGACACTTGTGCTTTTGTCGTGGCGCACATCAATTGAGTGGACGCGCTTGGGGTTGTCTGTCTATGGATTAGTTATTTATTTGTGGTGGGTAAGTTTGGTCTCATTAGTAAATTGGCACGCATGCTAATGTCATGCTACGGTCCCATTATGCAATTATTTAATCGGAGTTTAATTATAACCGTTAAATCAACTATTCACGATGATTACATGATGATCTAACGTTTACAAATCTCAACGAAATGATTCCGTAACGAGACTGTAGCATTTCTCTTATTATAGACTATTAATTGTAAGCCTAAATGGGCCAATGGGGTGCCTGTAAGTGTAAGGCTGCTGGCACTTGAATGAGTGGAAATTCACGTGAATTTTTACTCATTCAACTGTCTGAGATATTCTCAAGGGTAAAAAAAATATGTAGGGTCAGTGTCTCCACATGTAACATCAATTTTTTCGCGTAATTGACCAAACGAGCTCAAGTCCAGGTCTTAAATGTAGAGTAATATTTATTTGTAACACTTTGAATTAAGTAACATTTTATAAGTAACACATTTTCTCTGTCATATTTTTGTAACACATTTTGGTAACATTTTTATTAATCAATATTGTAACATCCATTTTTGAAAAACATATACAATATATTAAATAGAAATGTATTGAGACTACCATTTTACGAGTCGATGCAGACCGACAAGTTGACCCGAGTGAATTAGCTTTTAATTTAATAATCATATAATTACTAAAAATGGTGAAATGCATTTATTAAAACATAAAGGTGTGAGTTTTTTAAGGAAAAAAATATAGTAATATAAGTATTGGAAAAAAAAAATATATAGTAATTAAGATCAATCGAGGATTTTTTTGGTTAAAAGAAACTAATATATTTAAAAATACAGTTAATATAAATAAAAAAATACATATTTAAATATAATGGATATATATAAGATATTATTAGTTAGTTTAAGTATTCGAATGTTTCAAATTGGCTTAATATTATGTTTACTGAGAAAGTAGGAATAAAACACATGAATTCAGCTTAATATATTGTTCTCCTTTCTTGCTACAAGAAGGTCGAAAACTATGGTAGTATCTTGTGAAATCATAGTACTTGGTGTTGTTCTTCCATTTTATTCATATATATGTTAAAAGCATTCCTCTTACAAAAGCTTATACATAATGGCTTAAGTTGATGTTCAACTCCTGGTGATATCATGTGAATATTTTTCAAAGGTTTGTTCCTAACTCTACAAATGGTTAACGAACCGATGAAGGTAAACTATGCTATTCTATTTCATCTTATGTATTTTCTTTTGTTCATGATAAGTCAAAGGAAAAATGTCCAACTTGATTATCACTTTATATCATTTTAATTTTTGTGTGTGTGCGCGTCATAACTCTTGATACTCTCTAAGATTAGCCAAGTTGTTGTGTTGGTAGTATTATTTTAATTCTTTGTAGATTTGTAGTGCTTTGGAGTATAATCGCATTACATAGTTCATAGGATGTCGAAAAACAACCCTACCCATAATAAACTCAATCTCCTTTAAGTAAATAACTAGTGCAGAACCCGTGCGATGCACGGGGCTGTATCAGTTTTGGAAAATTTTGGAGAATAATATAATATAAGATGACATGTATTAGGATCGAAAGAATTATAATACATAGGAACATTTTTTTTTAAAAAAAGATTGTTTCGTCACGAAACAATCATATATTATTAAAAACCTCTTTGTATACAACATTATGAGTTTGGTTATTAGGTAGCTCCTTATTATCACAAACTAATATCTTCAACCCTCTTCTATTAGTTACACGTGAAACAACAACATATAATTGGCCGTGACTAAAACCAGGCTTCTTAAGGAATAGACCAACGTGCGATAAAGACTGTCCTTGACTCTTGTTTATGGTCATGGCATATGAAACCAAAAGTGGGAACTGTCGCCGTTGGAACTTAAATGGTACTCGTGTATCAGATGGAATGATACTCATCCTAGGAATCAACACATTATCGTCGCGTGATCTCCCATCAGTATTTTGCATTCGAGAACATGAGTAGAGAGTTTAGTCACAACCAATTGTGTGTCATTGCACAGTCCCATAGAATGGTCCATATTTCACAACAACATTACTGGAGTTCCTACCTTCAAGTGCAACTCATGGTTGGGAGTTCCAGAACACTTGATGCTATTCAAGAATACTGGCGTGTGTAGATCTGCCAAGAAATCATTGCCAGAATCCGATTTAGAAGTACTGTCACAGCTCAAGTACGTACGGCCTTCAGAAGAATTCATATCCGACATGTATTGATTGATGGACTCAACAACTTCCAATTTGGGAGCTGATATAGCCCTATCCTTCAAATAACTCGGATCGCCAGTTGAGTTCTTGAACATTGGATAAGTACTTTCTACAATCGTAGTAATTGGATCATCAGAGGGATCCAGTCTTATATCATCTGGAATTTCGATCGCGGCACAACCATCATTTGATCCTTCTATAGTACCATCTCTAATACTCGCAATCCAATCTGCAAATGCAGCCACCTCGTCACGCTCACGCTCATCCAAATCGGAAGTGCTGTGAAGACGCATGTTTTTTGTAAGCCGGAGCACAGTACAGTCCCTCCAAATGCTGGATGCATTTATATTCGCATTCATAATGTCCTGGCGACTCCCCTTTGGAATGACTGGAAGGATCTATCGAAAATCTCCACCAAAGACAATCGGCTTGCCTCCGAAGGGCTTGCTTTTATTCGAAGGGTCTACTACTCCCATTACACCCTGCAGTGATGTTTGAACTGCCTCAAAGCAATGTTTGTGCATTATAGGCGCCTCGTCCCATATGATTCGAGAGCATCTCATTATTAGCTCCGCAAGAGGACTTGCCTTATTGATATCACAAGAAGAATTTTCATGAATACTAATCGGTATTCGAAATCGAGAATGTGCAGTTCTTTCACCAGGTAACAAAAGCAATGCAATTCCACTCGATGCCGCATTTAAAACGATTTTACCCTTCGACCTTAACGCCGCAGACAAAGTCCTCCACAAGTATGTCTTTCTAGTACTACCATAACTGTATACAAATAATACTCCACCAGCACCTGAATCAACAGCGAACATAATTCTTGAATAACCTCCTTTCTGTTCACCAGTCATTCTCCCATGAAGTGCTTCGTGTTCCACAACAAGTGCCTTACGATCATAATTAAGCTCATCCAATATAAGGCGGTTTGAAGTGTTATGCATACTTTCACTGTCCAGATAAGGCATGGATGAATATTCACGAAGACTTAAGCCGCGAATTCGCATAAGAGTCTCAATTTCAGCAAGGGTGAGATTCTTGATAGCATCTTCACTGAGCCGCAAATCTAGAAGTCGACAAATACAATAAATTACAGAAGCAATGGTTACACAATATAATAGTTGATAGTTTGTATTTGTTATGTACAAAATAATTATCTATATACATTGAATAAAAAAAATTAAATAGTATATAAAAAGAATACTTACCATCATTATTGAACAATCGTCGTTGCCTGTATAGAATATTTTCAGATAATAATATCCAAGATTGCCGCCATACGTCATCAGGTCTACTCAAAGAACCAGAAATCAACAACGACACAAACATACGCCTAAGAGACTCTGCAGATGCCCAATGACTTGCTTCGGTTATACCGTCTATATACTCTCTGTCATTAACTAACAATCCGCATCTCCATAATAATATAAATATTTAAAACTATACCTATTCCAAAATTCGATGATCTCGGGCACCGATTCATGTGCAATCAGCTTGGTCACATTCATGGAGGTTGTTACTTGGACTTTATCTATAAACACAAATTATATACAATATAATTATTCGAATAAAACACATGGAATCAATATAAATTTTTACACATTGTACTAACCCAGGTACTCTTTTGCCCTTGCAAATTGCATGATTAGAACCCAAGGTCGGCCCGTCTCTTCAAATTGGCTCTCAAAGGCCAGTAGTTCGTCTACATATTTCGCCCAGACAGTGCAATTAATAAGATTCTCACTACAATAAGCAAAATACAAATTTATAATAGTTTCGAATTCAATATTTTTGTTCACTGTTGTATAAATAATTATATATATGTAATATAATATATATACATAATTTATGAATAATATACATTTTATTACTATATATACTCATGTACATAATAATATAATTATATATGTGTAATATATAAACTTATTTATATACGTATTTTCATTTTAATAAAATTGTTTGTATATACATAATAATACATACGAAAACAAATACACACAAATGTATAATATAATATTATATACATTTGGATGTATAAATATTTCTATATATATCAATTAAAAAAATTATACATTTGTATAAAAATTACATTCAATATATATATATATACATTCTACATAATATATAAATATATAATTATATATATATATTTAATAAATACATACTAAAATATTCGTAAAAAAAATATATTCGTATTCGTAAATAACATAATAATATAATTATATTTGAATTATATATTTAATAAGTACATACTAAAATATTCGTAAAAAATATATATAATCGTATTCGTACATACATAATAATATAATTATATTCGAATGTTGTTTTAATAGTAGTTTTTGTTTATACGTAATACAATTATAAAAAAAAAGTACTTACTTCAAATCCATGAGAATGAAAGCACACATTTGTGTTTCACCTGTGTTGAGTTGCTTCTCCTGAATACTTTGGACATCAATGACAACTCCAATGACATCTACAAATATAATTTTATATTAAATTTCAGATTTAGACAATTGATAGGACAATAAATATAATAAAAAAAAATAATAGTGAATATAATTACACATCTAATATTTAATATGAAATAAAACAAAACTACATGCTTACCGAATAGATTAATTTCATCAATATTGTCGACATCTTGAAGTTCAGCAAAATCCTTGAAATTAAATCGGTGAACTGGGAAATGTCCTTTGATCTTCAAGAATTGAGTGCCTTGATGCAATATGATCTTGAATTCATGAGAAGTGAGGCGATATTTACCGACATTACTTTCCACCCAATAATTTCTAATGCCGATTACATCACCTTCCACATATTTGTTTTTGGTGAAATGTTTGAGGTCCATACATTTAACCCATGCGGTGATGCGACTACCCTGTAAAAAAAAATTAGAATTATAAAGATCATTCATGATTTGAACATATTAAATATAAAACCAAATAGAAAAAATAGTGAAGAATACATCTTCATCATGGAGGACAATTTCGAGATAGTTTTGAAACTTGTTTTGATACTCTCTCATGATCATTCTGATGATCCGAACCATGAGCATAGGCCTTTTGTTCTCTTAACTTTACTAATTCGTCCCCAAGACTCGTCCATCGTTGGTAATTGAAGAAGGGTGACTTTTATGTAAACAAAGAGGGTTTTTTTTTTTAATTATCCGCCAGATGCATTGATGAGATGCGACATTTGAAGAATACTTATAGGATTAAATAATTGAAGATTGAAAGACATCTAAATAATAAAATAGGGATTTTAAAATAATAAAACTCTATAATTCAGTAATACTTTTAGGACTCTTTTTAATGTACGTGGTGGGTGATGCTATTTTTTAGGACTCCTCTCAGTTTGCATGATTATTGAATTATTAGCTTGGTGGGATTGTTTCCAATTATTTAGCTAACTTATTTGGTGATTTTGAATTTGATGATTCGAATTGGTGATGTTGTACACGTACATATCTATACAATTAAATATTTTAAGAATATGATTGCTAAATATTATATTGTTTTAAAATATATTAGCAGATTAGCAGATTTTAATAAATTTATAACCGACAACTTTTGAGTAAAAAAAATAGGTAAAACAAAAAAAAAAATAATTTAGTTTTTGATTGTGGAAAAAAAGAAAGGAAAAAGCGAAACAAATCCATCATGCAAAAGTAACCAGCCGATTTTATTAACCTAAATTATGTACAGTTATCAATGGCGTTTTTTAGTACCAAAAAATCAGCCTGATTTTGTTACATTTAATTCTAACAATTATCAATGACATTTTTAATACCAAAAAATCAGGTGATTTATTACCCTATCTATCCAAAAAAATGAAGATAATCACTATGTTTTAGGATTTGTTACACTAGCTATCCAAAAAATCAGGAAAGATAATCTATACAGAATTGGCGCGTGAATACCTATACATAATTGGCGGGTTTTTTTTTGCGGCAATTCCTAAATTGTTATTCTTCTAATATATAGATAGATTATATTTAATATTTATTACATTATAGAAATGTCTAAGTTCTTTAATTGTGAAAGCTACTTGATTTAGAGTAGTTTGATTTTTGTGAAGAAAAATGTAAAATCGTTAATAGGTATGCCCATATTCATACATTTTATGAGATGTCTAAATGCGTTACTCATTCATTTTTATTTACATGATATGACAAGACTTGACGTATGTTTTTTATTTATTTTTGTATTTTAGGATGATAGTATATATAGAGGGGCAAATTCGTGATTGTGGGCCTCCCACCTCTTGATCATGTCATGGAAGTGATGGAGCTTACAAGTGAGACAAGTGAGACTGACATCAATGATGAACGTTATGACAACATCTACTTCTAATAATTTCGATAAATTATATTTTGAATAGTCATGTTTTTGTTTTTGGTAACGATAAAGATCATTCTAGTTAGCTTTTTTTTTTCTTTTCTATATTTTGAGTTGTTGACATAATTACGGGTTTAATAATTATTTAAAATTTTTTATTTATCAAATTTTGTTCTATTGTGAAAGATTTAATAATTATATGCAATATGCATATATATATATGATTGATAGAAAAAGTGTTACATTAGAATTAAAAAAAAAGTGATACATGCTACAATTGAAAGTGTTACATAAAAAGAAACTGAATAACCACCGCGTAATCAGACTGAGAATCATAAGAAGAAAAAAAAAAGTGTTACGACAAAAGAATGAAAGTGATACAATTAAGGACTGAAAAGTGAAATGTTACGTTTCAATTAAAAGAAATTCAAAAAAAAATGTTACATTTGACAACAAAGTGTTACTGAAGATGTTATAGATAACATATAATTAGTGCTACTTGAAAATGTTACAATTTGATATTAGATTTAACACAAAGAATAAGTGTTACCAAAAGTCATCAAAAGTTTTACTATAGACAAAAGGTAGTACGACCAACTGTAGCGCCACAATTGTATTACATATAATCTATAGTAACATTTATAATATATTAGGTATCACTTGTTTGGTGTTACCTAATGTAGTTTATGTTGTAGTGATATAACCTACGATGTTTTGAACGCACTCGATGTCACAATTCGAAATGTCGGAATTATATCCACTCGATATCGCAATTAGAAATCTCAGAATTATATCCATATTGTGTAGGCAGCAGAGGATCCAGAAATTTTCATGAGCCAAGACAAAAAATAGTTGAAGAAGACTTTTAAGCATATTGCACAAAGTAGTTATATTAATAAATTAAATAAATTGTTGAAGCAATCGGGTCTTGAGGGGTTCCCTATCCAATTTACCTTTGACTTGATGCTGAAAAATAAAAGGAAAAAGGGGTCTGGTTATTTGATTTTGCGTTTTTATTATTATTAAGAAATATATCAAAAATATTTTTTGTAGTAACTTATAAACAAGTCATTTAAAAAATGATTTATTAATTTAAGAAAAGTCTAAATGCCATCATTTTTTATTTTTGTGATTTCATAAAGAGTTCCTTATGGTTTACCTTCTTACATATAAATGTAGAGGTTTTCATTCTTAACTTCTAACGCATTGTAATTCTATATATTAAATCCACAACTTTTTGATTTAAACATGTTGACATACAAAATTTACCAACTATTCCTGAGTTGATTCCTGAAATTAAGAACATAAAAAAGTGTAATGTTATTGAAGAAATCCGATATCGTTTAATGATATCGCAAGTCGGTTTTAAGTACAAGAGGTCAGTTTTTGGTTTGAACCGAGATGATCAATGTTATAACTAGTGTGTCGGGAAAAGATCCTCCTATCTAATGAATCCTGCTATTTATAGTAATTCTCGGCTTGTCTTTTGTGGAGATTCGGCAGCATTTAATGCGATATGACGGCCTACGGCCAGCTTTATGACAGGTGGGTCCCTTGCTAATGATGAGTCACACGTGGGTCGAGACATCTGATTGACAGCTATTTAATGTGGTCTGCGAAAGCGCACGTCAACTTGTGAAGGCTTCCTGCCCCTGTTCACGTCGGCTCGTTGGGTTAGCAAGTCGGAACGCGCACCTCGAGTTCTGCCTTAATTTTCTTAATCCTCCACATGGCGTTGATTCTTTGGGCGATACAATTTTTTATGTCAACATAGAGGCCCCTGGCATTAGGAGGTACATGGGCTATGGAGCTTTTAATGCCATATATCTTCTCGCCAGTTTTCCCTGAGAGACATAACCCATCTTCAAACCCCTTGCAATTCACAGTTTCTTTCTTGATAAGAGTTGCATAGACGGATCTCGAAATGAAACATCTACCCATGAAGGGACGCGTTTGCCGCCTGACGCGCTCTTCACGACACGTTCCCACGTTCTCCTAGTTTTCACCTACGTGTCAAGCCGGCATTGCTCCGCGTGCTTTTATTGGGGCACGTGAAATGTCTCATTTAATGAATGTGTCGGTCGTGTGCGTCTGTTCACCACCAACGGTCACAAGATTTTCTATAAATATCCGTTCATTCAACTTTTCAAAAATACCATCTTAACTTTCTCTGATTTCTTTAATTCTCTCAATTTTCCTTATCTGTGATTCTTCAATTCTCGATGCCCCATTCATCGATGAGGTTCCTTAACAGTCGGTAAGCTTCTCCCTCGACGTTCCCTTGCTTGTTTGCTTTTAAATTTTGCTTTTTCTTCGAAATCTTTCAATTCTTTGGTTTCACTGATGGCAGAGGTAAATGGGAACGGTCGCATCGAGCAGTTGTAGGACTATTTCAGACGATGAGGTGGATATGAATTTGGTGGCAAAATATTTTCGATGGGACTCGGTGTTGGTCGAACGTCTCGATATACGGAGGAACAATTTTGAGGGTGACGCCGAGGTCGAAAAAGACCTACCCGTCCGTGAGGGCAATTGAAACCGTCTGTCTCGTCGTTGGCCCAACACAGACGTCTCCTTCATGGGGAAACCGAGCACGTTGCACGATGCTGATGTCGTCCTATTGATGAAATCAGGTCGGATTCTTCCTTCGGTGAGGATTTTCGCCCTCTATTTTGGGGAAAGGATTCATTGCCCTCCTCCTGGGTGTGTTGGGATATTTGCGTAAAGCCTCAGGTCAGGATTGAGATTTCCCCTTGATAACGTGATTACTGATTACTTGCGGGACTTGGGCATTGGTATTAGTCAGATAACCCCAAACAGTCGGCCTCATGGTCCTTCATGCGCAGAAGGGATTGCCTTTTTTCGACGACTGAAGAGTTGAAGAGTATTTTCTTCTTTAAGAAAAGTCAGGAGCGGATTGGCATGCAACCTACCAGTTGTTTATTTTGTGCCGCGAAGCTGTAGGGGGACTTGAAGGTTGGCCAACTGATCACCGGTATCCCCGAGATGCTACACGGTTTCCAAGACGAATGATTATGGGTTTGAGGCGCAAATTGGCGGGATGATTGTCCCCACCCAATTTGTTTCTTTTTATTGTATGTTGTAGCACAAATTATTCTTTTTACCGAGTACCGAATCGAAAGATTCATTCCCCGGGTCGATCTCACGAGGAAGGCGGTTCGGAATTTAGCTTTGATATTGATAGCACATAAAAGCAAAATAAATCCTAAACATTCTAATCAATATGGGAGGAATCAATTACCAACTAAGAAATAAAATAAAAGCAACCTAAAAATAAGAACGAACAATGATGGAGAAGCTAAGGAATCAGGAACAATTAATTCAAGTTCCATCTCCACTCCGGGACATAAATCACTCTGTTCTAGATTGACGCTCTCGCTTAAGCATCTAGAGGTTCGCTCCCAATAACTCTTCGAAATAAGGGATTGAACATAGACGAACAAGTTCGAGCATACAATATCTATCAATAATCCAATCCCAATAACTTTTCGTAACAAGGGAGAAGACACCGACATGCATGCATTTCAACCCAAAACATGTAGATTATTCGGCTACAAAATCATCTACCTCATGCGAGCCTAGGTCAACGACTTCTTCCTCTTTCGGTTCAAAAAGTCGCTAATTTAACTAGAAGGGAATTAATCAACTAATCATATAGAACTGACAAACCCTAACTCGACTAATCAACATCCAATCATTATCAATTGCAAGATCGAAGTGTCACTCTTCGATTATATCAATTAATCAAGCAAGATTACATCAATACCGAATCAAATCAACTCACACAAGAACGAATAATTCAAGCCCGAGAGATGCACGTTTAACATGATCAATCATTCCCTATCCTAACAATAGAAATTAGCTATGTATCATGGATTCAACAAAATCAAGTATTTCACCCCAATTAATCATTCTCATGAATTAAAGAAGATGAAAAATACTTACAACCAATCCAAGAGTAGAATCCAAATTACAAGCTTAAATTCCTAAATAGTAAGAAAAAAAGAAAGGAAATGGAAGAAAAAGATTAAGGGAAGAAGAAGGAACAACGAAGAAGAAGAAGAAGAGAAGGAGAGAGGAGCGTGTTTTCTCGGGACCTAGGTTTTCACCCGGTCGAGAGATATCTTTGATCGATGCCCGATCGGTATATTTGTATAGATCATGTGCCACGGGCGTGAGGAGAAATCTGACGTGGGCGTGGCAGGTTACAGCGCCGCGGCGCGGAGGGCCTCACGGGCGCGACACGTCCTCCTATCACGGGCGAGGAAGTTGACCGCGCGTCGCAACGCGGCAAAATTAAAATTTATATTTTCCTTAACCAACCTCTACTTACTAGTAGTAAGGGTGAGCAAGGGTTGATCCCACAGGGAGTGTGAATCAAATTGTGAATTTTCTCGTATTAATTGAATTTATAAAAAGCGATAAAATGGGGGGATTGGATTAAAATAAAGATCCTAATCAAGTAAATAAAATCTAAACAAAAACAATGAAAATAAAAATAAATAAATGAAGAGAACTTTCTAGTTCACGGTTCCGTCTACACCCTCGACTAACTCGTCTAATCAACTTTAGTATCAAATCTCGTTATTTTATGAAATTACTAGCCCTCGGCAACGACACGGTCAGTTACACGAATTTTTTCTTATTTTTAATCTAACCGCGAGACGTTCTTTGATTAGACCTGACTTCTTGTACAGTCTAGAAAACGCTTCTTAGATTTAATACAATCAGCCGCTTTACGAATTAAAAAAATAGGCTAGACTAAGTAGTGAACTCAACCGCGTTCGTTCACTTAAATAGGCAGTGTTATCCCCGGTAGTTACCATCTTCCGGATACCACTTGCGAATTAAACACATCAACAATTATGGATTGAAGGCCTAATTCAGGTGTAGATATGTAAAACCTAATCTAGGTAGGGGTGAGCATCGGTCGGTTCGGTCCGAAAACCGAACCGAACCGAAAAAATCGAAAACCGAAATTATACTATAATATGAAACCGAACCGAACCGAATAACCTTTAATAACCGAACTAAAACCGAACCGAAATTATCGGTTCGGTTCGGTTTTAAAACCGAAAACCGAAATTATACATAAGTTCACAACACATGTTCCAAAACATAATAATTTTTATCACAAGTTCTCTAAAATCTAAAATCTGATTTATTATTTAGTTGTTGGGCTATGAAAGTGAGCATACATATCTAAAATCTAAAATTTGATTTATATTATTTAGCTATTGGGTTGGGCAATGGACCATTACTATTAAAGTTTACTAATTAGTAACATAAATTCGGTTCGGTTCGGTTAAACCGAATTTATTTTTTCGAAAACCGAACCGAACCGAATAAACCGATTTTTTAAAAAAATGAAACCGAACCGAATTAGGAAATAAAAAAACCGAACTGAACAACACTATTCGGTTCGGTTCGGTCGGTTTTTTCGGTTTTATCCGAATAATGCTCACCCCTAAATCTAGGTGATCAATCTAAATCCAACTCAGCATATTATGGTGAATTATTCAAAATAACACAAATAATTCCAAAAAGATAACTCAATAATCAACCACGTAAATTAATCAAACATCGTCAAGTCGTAGGGTTTAATTTCCCCGGAACTAGAATAAAAATCTACTCTAACATAATAAATAATAAAAGAAAAAATAGATAAAAGAGAGATTAAATATCTCCCTCGTGTGCGGGTGCGGCTTCCCTCCGCGATTGATCGGGTTCTCGCGTCTTTTTCCTACTTTGTACTGTCTTCTCTGTTCCTGCGTGATGTCTGGCCAAATCTGACGGCTGCGTGGTTCGTCTCCTTTCTGTGCGTGAACAAGGCCTGAAATAAATAATTTTTCATCGTAGCTATATATATTTTTGCTAATGAGTATATTTTCTTTCCAAATAATTCGTGATGCTCACGTTTCTTTTTTTCTTCCCACCAAAAATGCTAAAGAGCCAACAACCAATGAGACAATTCCAGGTGGGGATGTCCCACAATACTTTAATGTGGGACAGCTCCACATGGAGTTGTCCAATTGATTGTTGGCTCCATAACGGAGCCAACTGTTGACTCCTTAGCATTACTGTTTTTCCCACCAAGTAAATCAACCTCCAATTAGTTCCAAGCCTGAATCCTCAATTGTGGTGCCCAAATCACAATTATGCTCCTTTAATTAATGTTCAACCCAAACAAATTAGAAGTCCCATTGCAACTCTATGAAACTCATGGCCCAAAATAAATGTACTCATCTTTTAGCAAATAATTGCCTCTCTTAAGCTGGCATTGGGCCCCAATAATGACTCGCACAAACACTTGTCCAATGTTCCAGATCCACAAAATACTTTAAAATCCTAAAAATAAAACATAAAAATATCAAAGCACTATAAGTCATCTTATAAATAAATAAGTCAAAATACAAGAAATGTGATAAAATTAATCATATAAAAATACGCTAATAAATAAATAAAACGCGCACATTTTCCGACCAATCAGGAGTGCAGCGGGCGCGGCGGGTAGATTCTTCACGGCGCGGGGCCTTTCACGAGCGTAGCATGCACACAAGATGAACGGGCACCGTGGCGCTGCGCCGCGGCGAGG